CTTCCAAACTCTTCTTGGACATGACAAGTTTTATAACCAGAACTATACAATAATTATTCTGTATCGATACGAATTTTCCTAATTTGTGCGCGTAATCACTACTCTGCAGGATATTTGCAAAATCTTTACTAGTACAAGAACTTTTCATGGGCTAAGACTCTATTTTGCTTCAGATTTTTCAAGCTAATGCAAATGTAGTAAATTCTAGCTAATTCCTAAAGCAGTTGCTACAATTAGACTTGAAGTTTGTATTACCTTCAATAGTTCGTTGTTTCAAATTCTGACGACAATTTTAAATTGGATGCGTTTATCTAACAGCAATGCTGTGCAATGACAACAAGCACCCTTCGGAATTCCAAGGTTATCCGGACAATACATCCGGAAAAGTCTCCAATCGCAAGTGCGATTGGATTGGCCAATAGCAAAGGTCATTGAAATTCAAAAATCAAATTCCCGCGGACATGGTGGACATCAACATGTATCCGATGGGCGAGGCGTCATTTGAAGAAGCCCTCGGCGAAGCGGTATGGAAGGGATGCATCAATGGGCGCCGCTTGGAGATACAGCATTGGATCCTGGCTCGCGTCAAGTACTATGCCAGATCGACGTCGCTTGTTGAGGAAGCAATAAATCATGTTACCACCGACCATGACCTGTCGTTTCTTGACCTCCAACCGGAGCACCAGTTGCGACAACGGTCACTGTCTCCTGACGAACTAGTGTACGCCTACCTCAACTACCTTCGAGCTCACTTCAAGAGCGACTTAAATGATGCCTCATCGAAGCAACCTGAAGTATCAATCGACATGTCTACCAAGCAACTACAATGCACATCTGTAACTGCGCAACGCGAGAACAAAGGTCCCAAAAAGCGCATATCTCTTACATCACAATGTCTTCCTCCTCCGTCATGGACGAATTCGGACTTTCCACCTCTTGGTATGTCCCCTTATTCAAAACTCTTGGTTGGCACTTTAGAGTCTAACTCCGATCGTGTTGCAATCAGGAGGAAGCACTCCAAAGAAAGTCACTCCAATAAGTGCACCACCGATCAGAAAAGTTTCAAAGGACAAGCGGCGCATTCGGTCCACACTACTGACTACGCAACAAGTAATAGAGGATGTTACCAGTGGCAAGACCTCTATTTTCATGTCGAATGTGGCGGAAGTCATCGACGTGCCTCTCAAGAAGGATTTGATGGCCAAATTTGAGTCCAGGTTAATGGCGCCTCCATCCGACGTCGAAGATGCATCAACTTCTACAGTCAAGAAGCCACAAACGACGGGAGAATCACGTATTGATAAGCAAGACAACGTGTTGGATTCACAAGAAGCCCTACAGGCGTCGATGGTAAACTTACCACCACATGCACGACCATTCTCCGAGCCAAACAACGACACAGTCCATTTGGATGAGATCGACCACACCCCGTCCCCTGCAGCCCTCTTCTACTCTTTCCTTCTTCAAACGAAACTCGCACCAAACACCACCGTCGAGCTGCAATGGTTGCTCTCCCTTCTTGTCCAGAAAAAGCGGGACGCTGAAGCAACTTATGCCAAGCAATTTGCATTATCCGTCCTCAACACCATTCCGTCGTGGCTCGAAGCGTACGGCGTGGATGTGCTGAAACTTGTGATCGAAACATTCCAAAAAGCACTCGTTGCTACACCGTTGACCGATCGTTTCGTGCAATATTTGGAGCAGTATGAAGGTGATCGCGCGACAGAAAGCCAATTGGCTGGAGCACCACTTCCCATCGAAAGTGAAGGTACGTGTCGTGGGTTTGCTATCCGTTCGAGATTTCGCCCTATTCGTTTTTCTTATCTTATTGTCTGCCACGTCTTAGCAATCCCGTCAACCCATCGCAATTTTGCGTTGCCATTTCGAGAAGACACAGATTCGAGGCTACACTTCCGCACTCCTCAGGAAAGCATTATCTTTACCAATCGGGAAAAGGCGCGGGACGGGTTTCTTGCCCTCCTTCGGTCGTGGCAGAACGCTCGATCGGCCATTCGACGGCAAGAAGATCAAATTGTGCGGCAGTCGGCATCGGCTGTGTTAGATGATCTGGTTGTGGAAAACCACTGGTGGTTTGCCCAATTGTTTGTGATGGAATTGCTCCAAGTCGCAGTGAACCCCGTCGGCGAATACGACCACGACCTCGTCCTCAAGATCATTCACGACGACAAGCAACTTAAGAACGCTGACCGATTACGCAAATTGCACCAACGCTTTACCCATGTGCAGTCGTCGAAACAGACCAACTTGACGTTGGAAAAGCCAGGACCACTCGATGCCTCAGGACATGACCCAGCCGTGGACGACCCATCGGCGTTTTCAGACAACCAACGGTTCTTCTATGACTTTTTAGTTGCTACCAACCACTTTCAGTTCTCGTCGCTTGTGGCAATGGTGCTTCAGGCCAACTTAAGCCAAACTCTTGCGACGTTTCCGAACACATCGTCCATTACTACCATGCGAAAACAATTCAGCGTCAAAGTGCTTCAAGCCAAGTTGCTGGGTAAGTTTCTCGGGTGGCTGCACTACGCTCCCTGCTGGGCATCGCCATGGCCGAGCAAGCACAATGCTGCCATGGAAGCCGCGACGCGCGATGCTATCAACATGCGAAACCACGTCCAAGCACCGCTCGACGTTGCGTCTTACCTGGAGGTAAACCGATTTGACTGGATTTACTGGACAACTGCAATCATGGGTTTCATAGATGGCGATTACCGATCACACATTGATGGCGCACATTCCATGGGTTTGCGACTACATGGTGATGGTTTCCAAGGATCCGATTGCGTGCGATACGTTGTACTTCCAAAACGTGATTGCAAAGTTGCATCAAATTTACTGCTCGCGTCGATTGAATCAATTGCCGCGAGAGAACGCATGGTTCTTATCGTTGCAATTGGAAGCTTTGTTGAAAGGCAAACACCAGCACTTGATGTTTGCACGACTCCAGCACTCCACCACCGCTCTCGATGATCAAACCTTGTCAGTGCTGGATGAACCGTGCCAAGGCATGGATGCAACGACGTTTCTCGTCAACAACTTGTTTGTCCAGTGCTGTGTCCAGGTATGGTTTTCTCCTTCATTCATATCGCTCTTGTTTACGAATGAGATGGACAGGATGTGCCTACATTTCGTCGATTTCTGCAAGCGATCCACCAAGATGATAAACACGCCACCAGCCGCAAGGTCAAACTACGCCCTTTGGTCATTCAAGAACCGTCACTCCTTGCACCGTCGTCAGACTCTCCACCGCCCAACACCATTTCAACCACGAAGACTGCATCACCGAAACAACGTGTGGAGTCTGCGCTGACCATCGCATTTTACAAGCAATACCCGAGCGTTCAGCCCACGATAGAGTTCGTTGTCGACACGACCATGACGAATGTGTGCCATTTTGCCAACACGACGCTACTTCAGCCAGCTGCCGCGGCATTTGTTGAGCGGCTCTTTGCAAAAGTCGATCCGTCGCTTCCTAAAGACGATCAGACTACCTGGATGACTGCGCAGGTTCGACTGCATCTACCAGCAGCCAAAACCCAGGTATCTTCATATATTTGTACTCTGGGCTTACAATGTTTACAGGCGTGCCGCCAAGCCCGTGAAGCTTCCCAGCCGTTTTGCAAGCATCACATTCCATTAGCTATGCAATCTCTGTTGTCCCCAACCTTACCCAACTGTGTGAAGACCATTGCGATCGATCTTGCCACGGAGCGGGCAGTCGCGAGTCTCGAGACGTTGGTCGAAACAAGTTTGGCCATGGAGTTCTCAAAGCATATTGTACCACTCGAGTGACAAATTTTATCGACTTGATTGTAAATATTGTAGGTTGCTCGCATGCGAAAGTTGAAAAAGGAAACACCACCGCCTGTACCCGCGTCGACTGTATCCACTTCACTGGATGGATTGTATGCCCTCTCCAAGCTCATTCTTGACACTCCCGGCGACAAAACTTCTCACGTCCATGCATTCGCTGACCTTGCGACGTGGCTTACCGTCTCCCCAATTGTACTGTGTTGTTTGTTCGACACCGTTCCCCACATTCCCCTTGAAGATCCATCCATCTCGTTCGACATCGTGCGCATTCTCCGCCACATCCTCAAAACTCCCCAAACGTTGAAGGAAGTGAATGACTTTGCTACGTCTCTGGTGACATCGACTGTATCAGCCTCGTTGAAGCGGGACAAACCCGAGGCCGCGGTCCAGTTCATCAAACTGGTGTGCGATGAATGGCCATCCCTAGGCGGGTCAATCCAAGCTATTCTCGTCGAGCACGTCTCGACTTCAACGGGTATCATCCAACAGCTCTTCTTGCACAGTCGTGTAATGTTTGCCTCCGCGATGGCAAGCGCACACGTGGTTGGTTGTGTCGATCATCTCATCCCCCAATAATTTATTAATTGATTCCCGACTACCACAACTAGACCACAACAATTCAACTGCATTCAATGACTCAATATGTGCCCGACGATCTCGTCCAAGTGGTTTCGCAACCTCGTGTCGGAGAGCGCCGTCTCGAGCGTCCTTTCGTTCTTATATCCGTTTCGTTCGAGGAATCGGACAATGCGCGTGTGGCCGCTGCTCCGTGCGCTTTGCAGGGCATACGCGGTACAGCCCTCCGTGCGATTCGAGTGCAAAACTGGACCACTTCCATGTGTCCATTGTGCGATGCCCAGTCCATGGCGTGGGTCGTACAACCTTCAGTACGTCGCGAATGGAGAAATTTTATAATGGCCAAGTGTCCCTTGGCAGCAGCCATGTCCATTGCGAACGGACTCGCGCCCTCCGTCCGGTGCTCATGGAGAAACTCCACCACGTGGGCATGACCGTGCCACGCAGCCGTGTCCATCGCGTCTTCTGTGCATCCTTCCGACCGATTGAAGTGGAGGAATTGCACCACATCGAGATGGCCATCGCCAGCCGCGACGTCCATGGCGGAGGTCGTGCATCCTTCGTGGCGATGAGCATGCAGAAATTGAACCACTTGCAAGCGACCGGCGTGGGCAGCGTAGTTCATTGCGTCCGTTGTACAGCCTTCTGTTCGATGCGTGTGGAGGAACTGGACAACGTCCAAATGACCCGCGGACGCTGCATGGTCCATCGCATCCGGCGTACAGCCTTCAGTGCGGTGGAAGTGCAGAAACTTGACAATGTCGAGATGACCGTGCTCGGCCGCCCAGTCCATCGCGTTGGATGTGCAGCCTTCTCGTCGGTTCTCGTGCAGAAATCGGACCACATCCAAATGACCGCCTTCCGCAGCCCAATCCATCGCGTCCGTTGTACAACCCGCAATGCCGTGCATGTGGAGAGCTTTCACAATATCCAAGTGTCCGTACCGAGCAGACACGTTCATCGCTTCGTCCGTGCAAGGATATCCATGTTCAAGCAGGAAAAGCACCACCTCGAAATGCCCGTGTCGTGCAGCTCCTGTCATAGAGAAGTGCGTGCTTCGGCGGTAGCACCGGTCGTGGAGGAATCGGACGGCAGCCACCTGACCGTGGATTGCAGCTATGTTGATAATCGGGATCACGTCGTTGGCTTCATTACGAATGGACGACTCCAGCTGCCATCTCCAGTTTGTGTGCAGGTGATGGAGGACGTCCAGTTTGCCATGGGCGAGAGCGTCAAGCACCACAATAGGTTGCATGTATTTCAGGCATCGAAACATCCCGCTCAACCGCACAATGCCGTGGGTGGAGTACCATGGCGTCAGCGTTCGATGTATGTGATCCAGTTGAGGCACAAGCACCGATATCTTGTCTGAATAGCCGGCCCTGAATTGCCCGAACGGTTGGAGGTCTGGTGTACATCCGTTTTGAAATTGTGTGATGACGAGAAAGAGCTCGGGCGTTCGCAACACATCTTGCAAATCAGTACGTTCTCGAAGCAAGTCCTTGAGGGTGCAAACCTTCCGCTTCTTCGCTACCCGCGATTCGTCGGACACCCGAGGCCGCCTTGACACGCTCCATGCGGCAGAGGCGGCAGAGACGGCAGATGCAATCAGCATTCTCGCCTGCTGTGGGTTGTATTGGATGATGCAAAATGGCAAGAAATGCGTCAAACCAATAAAACGCAGTCCGTCCAGATACTTTAGACGCACCCAAAAAATCTCATGTGTGACCTTTCCCGAACAAATCAAACAAAAAGGTTTTGACACGATGTGTGAGACGAAACGAAAGCGTCAATGCAAGTACAAATAGACAGACAAACGTACGTGCACAGGTGATATCAAGCCTATCGTTTTTCAGTTGTCCTATATCTATCGACGAACGCCAGGAAACCAAAATTTTGAAGTCCAAACGGGGTTGTGACAGATCCATTTTCATTGGCTAATCCATGTGTGCGCGATTTTGATTGGTCAACGAGTTGAATTATTCAATTACGATGCCATGTTGAATTTGTCGTATAAGAACAATTTCGAACTTCACGGGGCAGATATCCTCATAAATCAGCAAAGTGCATGTTTGTTCAACTTAAACTTGAACTAAATATGCTGAGGCATTCGCTCTGTTTGATGAGTATCTGGAAGGTGCAATCCTGTCGTGGGAGGCAGTTGGGGTAATTTGGAAGGAGACGAAAGCCGCCCAGAGCGAGGATGATGAACTCCCGACTCCCAGCATATATTCCTCAACCTCTGGGTGATGACACTCTTCAACCAAATCAGCACACACTCTAAGAATAATGAAAACGTCCCCTCCGAGGGTAGGCCTGTTCGTGACATTTACGCGCCTCAAGACATCCCCGCTCCAAGAAGTCTATCCACACAAGGGCAGTCTATTCCTGTGTTCATACTTTTCATACTTGGCTCTCTCACTGCTATTGATAACGGAGTCCTGTTTTCCTGGACCTTATCCAACAGGACGGTGTGACTGGTGAGGTAGTGTCAATAAATCTTTCAACTTTGGCGTTAACTTATCCTGAATATCGTAGAAAGTTAATGGGATCGGCGCCATTTCACAGCTTGAGGCCCACGTCAACAGGATCATAGACGACATGGACGACGGTGTGCCCAGTCCGGGAAAACACGCAAGCGTCCGTCCTTCGCGCAGCTCATCAATCATGAGCTCAAGCAGTTGGAGGCAAAACATCGACTATCAGGTGTGTCTACTAATTCGAACCTGCTAATATGTACTTCAGGTGTCGCATAAGAATTTGGTTCTGTTGGCTTGACAGCAGTCTTGCAATGGCACTATACCCGACGTGGCGCGGCGGAGTGGACGGCATCCTCCTTCAAGACAAACATGCAATGTTGTAACACTGCTCGGCGCTGGAGGAAGCGGGGGTAGGAACGGACTGTGCGAGGCGAGGCAAATTGTAGAATGAGATTATGATCGAGTTATGAGCTCGTAAAAACTTCACATCCGTCGTGTCTTTATGATGCTTGAAGGAGCCACATCTTCGTCGTTCGCTCGTGTACTTGATATATATGTGACATACAATAATGCAATGATGTCAATTCATTTTGTAATGCCTGGTTCTTGTCGACGCGTGACATCTACGCGATTCGATTCGCTAAGCGCTACAAATGTGGTACGCGAGGGCACTGGTCCATGGATACCCTTAGCAAGGCATTTGCATACATCGGTAAAGCTCAGTCGAAGATGATGACCTCAAAAATGTTTACGTTGTCTAGGAACTACTCTACGCGACGATCGAAAGATTGTCGAGCGCCTCGCGGTATGGAGCGCAAATGCATACGTGAAGCCAACAACGCTTGAAGTTCTTCATGGCATTCTTTGCTCGGCAGACCTGGACTTGCTGGGGGCGTTTCAGTTCTGCAAATTTTCCAACGCGGGTGGTTTTGTGGGCGAAGTCACGAAATGCAATGTCTCCAATGCGGTTTGCAATTCTCTTTTCGCTGCGTGGCTTCTACATTTGCCAGATCTGCTACAGTTCAACCTAACCGTATCGCTCAACATCGCTGCATCACGGGCCAGCTGTCATTCAAGCTGCAGTTGCGAAGTTTTGCAAGCGTCTTCGGGGGTAATTCGACGTGTGTACATCGTACACATCACACGAATCCACGACGTGCGAGACGACGCTGCTACTGCGTCATATGAATTCGAAACTCGACTTACTCGAAATAAAGTTGAACCACCCCCAACGTCCTACGACTGTGGTCGTACCGGTGTATAAGGGTTGCCAGATCTAAGCTCCTCTATTTCCGTGTCTTGATTCAACACAACGATTGCTTCGTTCTTGTACAAATGGTATATGGAACGTCCTTGGTCGGTCAACTTTCATACGCTGTCGGACCAAACAAGGCTGAGTCAACTAAATTTAACTGTGGCGATCGTCAAATTTGTTGCACAACTGCCCTATAAAATTGCGTCTACCAAATGGGACTACTTGACCTACATGACTGGAAAAGCACCATGCGGTATCTGTATCAACTCCTGGAATCGAAATTCCAAGCCAACATGGCGAAGATCGACGGAGAGGAAACGATGTACGCACTCGACTCTGTGCAGTGGGTGGCGCCAATCCCATGCTTGCAGACATGGCTGTTTGAACCGCCGCAATGATGCTCGAAGGGTCGTTGTGCTGCTCCGCGACCGATCACGACTACGACGGCCTACCAAACGAGTTGTCAAGATGTACTCCAAATAACAAATTTTGCATATATGTGAGTTGATCGGCACTACAAACAGCACGGAGAAACAACTGTGAACAAGTCAAATTCATATAAACACCAGTCACAATAATTGAGCGATGCGAGCAAATATGACCTAACGGTTGAACATCATGCGTCAGGTACATGAAACAAGGGTATTTCACACGATCGTCCAAGTTGAACGCTCGCGAGTTATTTTTATTTTAAATCGTCCACCGCGGCATGATTGGCTTAAAGTATCACGAGTTGGAAGTAAATCCCAGGTGGGTTTTAGTCCTCTCCTTTCCAGAATTTCAGCGGCTCCCAGTAACCGCCGACCGTCCCAGCCGTCCACGATGCCATACCGAGCGCGACAGGCACCGAGAGGTACAGTATGACTCTGCGAATTTCGATCTGCATGGCCTTACATGACGATGGTGCTTTGGCACATATCACAATCGCGCAACGTGCAAACGACACAGCAGGAGTGAAGAACTGACATAGCCTTCAGTCCGGACAAGCGCTTCATTTGAAGGCTTTCAAGTGAAGAGTCCAATCGTACACTCCAATCAGCGTTTTCGACACCATGGTCGAAGATGCAATAGCCAGGAACGGCAATGAGAACGACTGAGGCACTCAATAAACGGCTAATTTCACACACCTTAACACACAAAATACAGTCAGCATAGGCGCAATACAGTGAGCGACGGAAAAATGTACCCAGTGGTACTTCAGAAATATCTTGAAATTTGTATGCGGAATAAAATTAGCCTCCATGAGAATTGACAATATTTTTATTCAAGCTGTTTTTGAATTGAAGAGCAATATCAACGATAATTCGTAGAAATTGATCATTCAATTCTCAGCTGCGACCACGACGACCAGCAACAAATACTACAATTTTTCTGAAAACCAAAAAAATTTCGAAAATGTAATATTACACTACAAGAGAGTTCATGGCAACGCATTTTCAAATGAGCGCGTGATGGTCTCACATGGCATGTCCTCCCAGGCTTTAATAGTGCGCTTAACCATATCATGCGTTTTTCAGCTGCAGCGACAACCGGCTTTTCGTGAAGCCACTTGTAACGAAGATTGCTCTTCAATGGCCCCATGACACCAACATCCAATGGTATATGTGGTGTAAGCCATCGCTCGACGTTGATATAAACGACGAGGTTTAGCGGGACTTTAAACCAACCAGTAATTTTCGAATAATTCGTACGCCCTCAAAAAGAAGAAAAATTGCCTTTGCGTTCCTGGTATATTTTTCAACAGGAATGAGTGTTTAGGAAGACAAAATATGTTGAACGTCAGTGAACAATAGTTAATTGTGACCTCGCGTTGGGTAAGGCCCATAAGGATACCACAACGGACATGCTGAGGTTTCAATGCACAATGACTATACGGCATAACTGTACATCCACGTTATGGAATGAACTCAGTACCGCTCGGGCTTCGAGCGGGAGCTCTATGGTGTGAGCAATTATTCTTATTGTTTGGGAAGTTGTTGTTGTATTGAATGTCCCAACCTAGGACGGTTTGCATGACACAATGTGATTATATTGTATTATTGCGGCATATTGTTTCAACGAGGTTAAAGTGAGCAGGTTCATGCCATTATACGATAGTATATCCAAGGCAAACCATGCATGATATCATGCACTAGGTCGTAGAAGTACTTGTCACCCATTGGTTAAGAATATTACAATTTCTTCGGGTAGATTGCATGTATCGACAATATTAAAATAACGAAAATATGGTGAAGTACCACTGGGGACATTTTTCCGTTGTTCCCTGTACATGTGCCTGCTAAGTCGACATTGTTCGTTTGTGTAATACTACGTACCTCAGCGTCTTGTCAAATTCATTGCCACGGCCAGCGCCGTATGAATGCGTTTGGTCGCGGCGATCGGCACGTGCGAAATCTCAAACTTCTTCGCGATGACATGAACATACCGTCAAGTGTAATACGAGTACGACAACCATTACGAGTCGGACACCCATATATTTTAATAAATTTTCGTAAACAGGCAGGAAAAGTTTTCACAGGAGACACCGCGCGCCAAAATACACTCCGAAAGCCAATATATACTGTATAATGCAATATAATATCGGGGTTTCGGGGTAAAATTTTGGAGGGGTTTTTTCCGCGCGCATCGGCCACTTCGAAGCACGGACCACACCCCATTGCGTTGGTCATGGAGGAAGACGGACTCGCTCAAATGCAATCGCGCCAGCGTTGAAGGCCGGTCTCCAAGTACGGTCCAAAGAAGCCCAAGCAGTTCAAGAACAGCGTGGTGACGTACAGCGAGCGACTAACATTGATCAAATACTACGAGTCATTCGGCATGTCAGCTACCCTTGTCGCTTTCCACCCGCATATCAACACAGTGGCGCGAGAATCAGTCTGA